AGAGCTCGGTAGTCGCCGCATGGTCTCCAACTAACCCCATCTTTTTTGCGCACCATGTGTAGAGGAGAGGCCCATGGACTGTGAGAAGGACGAATAATACCAGTAGCTAGTAAATTGTCAAACTCACGCTTAGCAAAAGCTAATTTGTCCGGTCCCAGTCGGCGAGGTCGTGCCGTGACTGGCGGTCCGCGGGTGACTATGTGGTGTACCACACGATTGGTCACCGATGGAAGCTCCTCGAGTGGTTTAGTGAGTACGGGGAATTTCTCGAATAAAGCGTGGAATTTATCGTCACGCGAGTAAAAAGTGCCGAGGATTCGGTACGCGTTCATGTGGGCTTTACAGCCCATGAATTTGCTGTTCGACGAAGTATCGATTAGCTGCAGCCTACGTGAATCGACAAGCAATTCATAGTGCTGTAGAAAATCGATACCTAGTATGGCTGTGAGAACATCAGCAATGATGAACGTCCACAGATACCGTCGTCGGTTGCCCAGGTTGACCGCGAGTTGTCGTGTACCGTAGGTAGGAATGACTGAGCCATTCGCAGCGCGTAGTCGAAGCACTGTGGCTTGTGACTTGCTGCTACCTCGTGGTACGACAGAAACTTGGGCCCCAGTGTCTACTAGGAACCTAGCGTTTGTGCGATAATCGTGCACATAGAATAGGCGACCAACCTGGGGAGAAGGGCCGGCGAGTACGGCCGCTTTTACTCGCTGGCGCTGGCGTTTCCCGCCTTGTATGAGCATGGTGCTCGACAACGGCGGGCGCCAGACCCGAAGGACCTATGGAACCAGCACCAACTGTCACTCGCTTCCGTAGCCGCCTTTCGGCGTGGCTTGGAAGATGCCCTTTTTGGGCGAGTGGTGACGCGTTTGCGAGAACTTGAGCGAGCTCGGGGGACGTAGGGTTGGGGTACGTTACAACGGTCTCGAAAACTAAGACGTGTGTGGATACACCCGTCCCTGTCACCATGAGCTGAGGAATGACCGGCGTCCAAGTCTACTTTAGGACGTGCCGTTGAAGCAACTACATAGGTATCTTTATTGCTAGTCCTCGCTAAAATTTTATCTGCTATGAGGGCTACCTGGTCTAGCGGCGAGTCCTCGAGCAGTGCCGTCACAGTGGGTTGGATACGTGCTGGTAGTGACTCTAGCCACAATTCCTTAACTATTTCTGAGTCACTTGCTGTTGGTCCTGCAAGAGATTGCAGGCGCGTGAGGTGGTGGCTCGGTTTAGCATCACCCAGGGGGTGACGTGCTAACAGTGTCCTCAATCGTCCCTCCCTCGATGGGAGGAAATGTCGGAGAATTGCCTCTTTGAGGCGATCATAAACATTAGGTACGTTAGAATTGAGGATAACCTCACGAACAGCTACTAAGTGGTCCCCGGGTAATGACTCGAGAGCGTAGGCGTATTTTTGCCTTTGGCTCGTGATGCGACGAGTCTCGAACTGAGACTCTAACGCAGCAAACCAGACCTCAGGGTCGTGGGGGATAAATGATACAGGTCGAAAATGAATGGCCTGTACGTCTGAGTCTATAGCATTAATAGTATTCTTCTCGCTATCCGTCATGTCGTGTATATTATATATTAAAAATTAATATGAAAATATACGACAGACGTGGATAGATAAATAATAGACTCACCAAATTGGCTTCTTTGGAAGATTTGACCCGAGGTTGAGGCGTGTTCCAAACTTTGGGATCACCAATTGTAGCGTGGCGTCGAGTTGAGATTAACTGTGAACACCGCTACCCAGAAACACGTGCCAGACAAATCAGAAGGCGAGGATCGATCGTAACCAGATTTATTTCGTTGGCGATCTCGCGGTATTGAACGAATACCGAGATCGTGCCAAGGAATGGTACAAGTGGAAGCAGAAGACGGGAGTACGTGCGAACAGTACCAAAAACCGCGGAACAATAATGGAAGGTAATGGAAGCACAAAATGGCTATACTTAGCACAGTTAAACAAAAGCACATTAAAACAAACACTGGTACAGTTGGTTATAATAATAATTGTTTTTATTAAACCAGTCGTGTTCTCGTGATAAACGTGAGTCACTACATATTAATGTAGATCGACTGACCTCCCATTCTGATTGTTGAAGACTATATAATCTTCAACAGTTTTATCCGTCCCCATTTAGAGCACAGAAACATAGTATTTACCCCCTCACTCCAAAAGGATAAGGACACCCTGGAGCGTACCCAACGGCGAGCCACGAAATCAGTTCGAGGACTCAAATTTAAACCTTACGAAGAGCGCCTCCATTCACTAGACCTTTACTCATTAGAATATGTACGTCTTTGAGGTGACTTTCTGATGGCTTACCGTATCCTTTACATTTCTGGACATCCTCTCAAACACCTACTTAAGCTTAGTTCCAACACTAACCTAAGACGTAACACCCAAAAACTGGAGACACAACATAGCAGAACGAACTGTAGACACAACTTCTACTCCTTAAGAGTTGTCAAATGCTGGAATTCGCTGCCGGCCGAGCTAGTCCAAGTGACTTCCCAGGAGTCCTTTTTGAGAGGCATCTTGATCTATTCTTAAGGACTAAGGATAGTATCACACTATGATTTACTAATTTCTTTTCCTCTTTTATTGTTAACATACCTAGGTTCCTTCCTGGAGGATTTAGTGATCCCCTGCTACTAGACACGGAAGCCTGTTAAGCGAAAGCTTCTTCTATTTGAACCATTTTAGTGTTGTAGAGCTCGCACATTTAAACGGCTGAATGTGCGAGCTCTACATGACCATCTACAACAGGTGGCTTGGGATGTTCACCCTCAAATCGATGTGGATGGTCATTGGGACCTCTTGCTGCACACGCTCTTATGTGCTACAGATCATTCAGTTCCTCAAACGGTTCCCAAAAGCTTCAAGCCACCTACAGTAATCAAGAACCGTACCCTTCGCCTCCTAAGCCGCAAACGGCACTGTTGGGCGGAATACAAACGAACTAATAACGATGGAGCGTATAGGCAATACAAACATATCAGGAACACATGCACGAAGGCTATAAGAGAAGACAGGCTTCAGTACCAAACAAAGCTTATGGACAAATTCGCCTCTAACCCTAGAAGCCTATTCCGTTATGCAGCCTCTCTTCGTCAAGCCAAAACAGGAGTTTCTCAACTGCTAGGTCCTAACGGCCCGACCAACAACGATGGCGACGCCGCTAACCTTCTGGCGGCCCATTACTCTCAAACATTTCAACCGGCTGATATCAACTTTATTGACGACAGTTTCATCTGCAATTCCACAGGACTTTCTGAAGTGGACCTAAGCGCTGACTTGGTGTTCCGGAAACTGCAGCACTTAAGACTTGACACTTCTCCTGGCCCGGATATGGTTCATCCTGCCATACTGAGGGAGGCAGCCTCAATCCTGGCAACGCCGCTTAGCGTGATGTTTTCACACTCGCTTAGCCGAGGCAAATTACCGGAAAATTGGAAGTTGGCTCACATCACACCAATTTTCAAAGGTGGTCGACGCAATGAACCTTCAAGTTACCGGCCGGTAGCTCTTCTGTCGTTACCTTCAAAACTCATGGAGTCCCTAATATGCGACGGTTTAAATGACTACCTACTGTCCTTAAATTTCTTCTCACCCCAACAGCATGGTTTCAGGAAGGGTTACTCTTGTATAACTAACCTGCTGACTGCGGTGGACAGATGGACAAGCATCCTCGATTGCAAGGGAAAGGTTGATGTCATTTACCTTGATTTCTCAAAAGCTTTTGATAAGGTTAACCACTTGTGTCTTATCAACAAGCTCAAACGACTAGGTATCAAACCACCTCTAATCGACTGGCTCACTTCATACCTAAAAAATCGACACTTTAAGGTTAGGGTTAATTTCACTTTATCTCAAGCTATGGAATGTCCTAGTGGGGTCCCCCAGGGCTCAGTACTAGGGCCTCTTCTCTTCTTGATCTACATAAATGATCTTCCTCAACAGGTAACGTCAGACTTATTACTTTTTGCCGACGACGTGAAACTTTGGAGAGAGATACGCAACCAAGACGATATACAGGCACTTCAAGAGGATCTGACTCGACTTCAAAGTTGGGCAGACGATAACGGACTTACCTTTAACACTTCAAAGTGTAAAGTAGTCCATCTGCGACATGTCGCAAACTACAGTTACAACTTAGGAAACTCCTCTCTAGTAGTATCCCAAGTCGAAAGAGATTTAGGAGTCCTGGTGCCCCATGACTTAAAGTCTTACGCTAACTGTGGCAAAAATGCCTTCCGAGCAAACCTTGCACTGGTAACGTTGAGGCGCATTTTTGGTCAGTTTGACGGAAGAACTTTCCACACAATCTTCAATAGTTTCATCCGTCCCCATTTAGAGTACGGAAACATAGTACTCCCCCCCCTCACTCCAAAAGGATAAGGTCACTTTGGAGCGTATCCAACGGCGAGCCACGAAATCAGTTCGAGGACTCAAATCTAAGCCTTACGAAGAACGCCTCCGTTCACTAGACCTTTACCCACTAGAATATAGGCGTCTTAGAGGTGATTTATTAATGGCTTATAGTATTCTTAACACTTCTGGACATCCTCTTAAACACCTACTTAAGCTTAGTTCGAACAATAACCTAAGGGGTAACACCCAGAAACTGGAGACACAACATAGCAAGACGGAATGTAGACACAACTTCTACTCCTTAAGAGGTGTCAAAAGCTGGAACTCGCTGCCGGCCGAGCTAGTCCAAGCGACTTCTCAGGAGTCCTTCAAGAGGCAACTTGACCTATTCTTAAGGACTAAGGACAGCATCGCACTATGGTTTACCAATTTCTTTTCCTCTTTTATTGCTAACATACCTAGGTTCCTGCCTGGAGGATTTGGTGATCCCCTGCTACTAGACACGGAAGCCTGTTAAGCGAAAGCTTCTTCTATTCCGTCCACAACCATTTGAACCATTTGAACCATTTGTACATCGAGGTTTAGGGGCGGTCTGGTCAAATATTCTATCACCATGTCTTTTACATCACGTCTCCTTTACAAACATATAGCGAGTGACCAACCTTGGTCAGCCGTCTATTTTAGTTCGGTTAGCTCTATTTTTCGTGAATAATAGTTTTCAGGCGAGGTGTCGGTATTATTCCAAGGGTTTTATACAAAGTCTCATCGATAAAGTTAAAGAAGAATCAAGCAAAGACACAGAGTTAAAAGTAAACTAAATACCTCTGGATTATCTTTGATCAAGGAAAATATCAGAAAGTTTCGTGAAGAAACAGCGAAATTGGAACAAACAAAGGAATTACGCTCTGTCCGGGAATTTTATGTCAGTTTATGTAATTCTCGAATCCCTTATACTTTAGAAAAAGATAGAGAAAGAAATGCCAGCCGATACTGTAGGAAAAGTACGAGACACTTTCCAATCTGTTAAGAGCAAAATCCGTAATGATGCTCAACAATTTGCTCAAAACGAAACACTGAGAAAGGGTGTTGAAAATTTATCAAAAGCCAGTGAGCATGTTAAGGATGCCACTAAATCACTTAGTGAAACAGAGTTCATCAAGGCTGCTATAAAAGTAACTTATCTTGCTTAGATGTAATATTGATAGGGTGTTGAAGTAGTTGGGAAGGAGTTAGAATCAGAAAGGTTTCAAATGTATCAAGCGCCAAGTAAGTCAAATTCGACAGTGCTTATTAGTGAATTTCTAGGTATTTTAAAAACAAGAAGTGAGATCTCTGGCAAAGGTGAGGAACGCGCAATACAACCAGATAGGTGAGCTTTATATCATTATTGTGAGTCATACTGAAAAATGTCAGGATTTAACTGTTAGCTTATTGTAACTGTGTATTAATTATTTCTTGAAGCGAGAGATCTTAATTTTAAAGTTTTTACTAGCCAATTTTTGTGATCAAAGCAACATTTGTTTTTCAACCAGATAATTACTCAGTAAGTCTGGTCACATGCGCATGTATAGACACTTATGTATGAAGATCCTTACGACGTTTATATAAAATGTTACTGGCTACATATAACTTGTGCATTTTCAAAGAGTAACGTCTAACTAAACGCTGAATTCTCGGCATCTTTTTGTAACCATAAAAATCAGAGTCATTTCTAAGCGTGTCAAATCTGTTATACAATCAGTCGAGACCGGTTTGTTGGTCACTTTTGAGCAATACTAGTATCCGTGATAAACCTCAACCACTTACTACCATCGGGATAGGGTCATAAATTAGTGTAAGGAATTGAGACTAGAAGCTGGAGTTATAAGCTAAGGTTTGGAATTAGAATCAAGGTTTCCATCGCAAACTAACGTCAGCTATAATGAAATTAAACTTGCACGCATGAGTTCCTCGCCAAAATCCAAAACTCGATCTCAAATCTGGTTAGTCCGTTCACAGATTACATTCTCACCCGTAAATCCCTTTCGCTTATATCCTATTTTATTTAGCTGTTAAAACTTCTACTATTAATTTGATGTTTTTCAATCTTACTAATATTTCTGTTTAGATGTAAGCATCTAATAGTTTTATGTACTCTGTAATTCATTGGTTAAAATATGAGCTAAACCTTAGCAAGCTTTGTAGGTCTTTAATCACTATGCCTAATCCCAGCTCTCAGATAATCACTTTCAACACGGATTCCCACAAGATATACATATTTGGTGTCTTAAAACCATTTATACGTGGCATTATTTCATTCATGATATCAAGCTTCCTGGATTCCATTCTCATTATGCTAAACATGAAGTGTCTGAAGCAGACAGTCATTCACAACACAGAACCTGATACATCGAAAATAGTTTATTTGATAAATGTCCTCGTTGTTACTTAATAAAAACGCAAACCAATTTTTGAATCTGGTGTTATGAAATTTCTATCTATTTAGCTTCTCTATGTATTCGAATCATTGTGCCTTTTGGACTCCATCAAAGCTTAATGTTTACTCCTTTCATCTATCAGTTTTTGAGTGTTTTTAGTGTATTTATCTGAGTACTATGTAGTTTCGGTTCCGGATTGTATTAGTGTTGAATTTTTGTGGTAAACCTTTAATCCAAATTCCCATTACACCCAAATACAACGTAATAGCGTAATGTATGCTACTTACGTTTGCAGATATAAGTAGTATGTAGCACCAATCGGAAGTGGGATGTCTGCTAGCACGAGGTTTGGAAGATTGAAATAAAAAACAGAGAGGGAAACTGAAAGCTACCAAGATAACATATAAAGAAACAATGAGGCCTGTAAGAGACAGTTCAGAGATGTGCAAATGATGTATCTAATGTATGGTTTTCATATTTTACGAAAGCACTGTGTGGTTGAGTAATAAACAATAAATTGTTTTTCCCCACCCGAGTCTTCGTAGTAGCTGGTACCTTGGAAATACCAGAAATATTCCGTCCATTTACATCCAAATATCGAATGTAGTGTTACTCTATACTTGCCCTTCTTCAGTGTTTTCCCTTCCAGTCTTTTGATATTGCCGTTATTACCCATCCTTTTTTTCCTGTGGTATGTTAGTGTAAAGTATGCTCTCAGGCTCGTTAGTATTCATAATTTCTACCCGTACATATGTAGAAGTATCTTTTGTTTCTGCGATATTTGCGTATTTTAGAGTTGGTGTCTATAAAATATAATTATTCAAGTGAAACTTGTGATAAATATCTTATTAGAACAACAAATATAAGTCCAAAGTATTGTTTTCAGCTATATCTTTAGACTTTAATATACAGTAATATTTATATGCACATATAAAGCATAGTAAACGAAATAAGGCAACTTGCTGGTCAATGATATCAATTAGTCCAATTACATAACCAATCATAAGTAAAATGTTACAGATAGGTAGTGAAATGACAAGTGCTCATGTACTGATAATAACAGTAAAAGTTTGAATAAGTATGCCAAAAATTGGTGAAAATAAGCTTATGAAAATAATAATCAAAACTATGTGATAAATTATTTATTTATTTATTTGAACACATGAATATTGGTACAAGAGAGCGCCAATATATATGCGCCACACAAAACAATGAGAATTCGAAGAGAAATAAAAAAAGCTAAGGAGCGCAAAAAATGAGGGCAATAACGAAGAGATTGGTGTAAGGTAGTATGGTAGAAATGAGGGAACGGAAAGGTACAATCAGAAGAAATCTTTCAGGTAAGGGAGACACAACCACTTTTTATGAAGAAAGTAAAAGAAGGTGACAGCAGGATCGCCACTGGCTTTTATTCTGAGACATCTGATTACGTCCATAGCCACTGTGTTGCACCATCTCTCAGACCCCAACCAGGGAGTCGTGAAGGATCAACAAAAGCCAGTCCTTTGCAGCTTTCTTTCATGCCACGACACCATGTCATGCACTGACCACCTCTCCGCTTCTTCCAACCAGTCCCAGAGTCGGCAAATAATGCACGACGTGGAATTCTCTGGGACGACATTCGTAGAACATGTCCAAGCCATCGAAGTCGGTGTTTCAAGATGGTAACACCAATTGAATTATCATCTCTGTGCCCGAACACACGATGCCGAGCCTCTGCATTACTGACATGGTGTTGCCACTGAATGTCAGCAATCCTTCGGAGACAGCGATGATCGAACACAGAGAGTCGACTAACGTCCTCAACTCGGAGAGGCCAGGTTTCACAACCATAGAGCAAAACTGCTCTCACCGACGCGTTGTAGATCCGACCTTTTACAGCCAGACTAACATCACGAAGGCGCCAAAGGTGGCCCAGATTGGCATAAGCCGCTCTGGCTTTCACTATTCGTGCATTGATCTCATCACTCACACCCCCACCGGCACTTATGCAGCTACCCAAATACACGAACTTCTCGACTACGTCTATCTGCTCACCATTCAGGGTGAGTACAGGATCGGAATCCTGCCAGTCTTGTAGAAGTACTTTGCACTTCGAAGGTCCAAAGCACATACCATACCTACGGAAACTGATTGCCAACTGATTAAGTGTGGATTGCATGGCTTGGGCATTATCGCACAGTAAGATAATATCATCCGCATACTCAAGGTCGAGAAGTCTTTCTCCAGGCAACAGATCCACACCACCATTACTTACATCCATCGGAGCTGTTTTCAGAATGTCATCGATGGCAAAGTTGAAGAGGAATGGTGAGATTGGGCAACCCTGTCTAACCCCACTGCTCGAATGGAACAATGGAGAGAGGTGGTTGTATGCCTTCACTCTGCCTGAGGTGTTTGTATATAGGGATTTTAGGATGTTAATAAACTTCTCAGGCACACCCTTCTTCAATAGACAATCCCGCAGAACAACGCTATCCAACGAATCGAAGGCAGCCCTGATGTCAAGAAACTCTACGATTGTTGGCCTTTGATAAGTATGGCGGTGTTCTAACATTTGGCAGAGGGTGAAGATATGATCAATACATCCTCGACCAGAACGAAACCCAGCCTGCTCCTCACGAGTCAATCTTTCTCGGGTTTTAAACAACCTACGAAATATGACGGAAGCCAATAGCTTGGACGCAATCGGAAGTAGACTTATCCCCCGATAGTTGTTACAGGAACGACGTGAACCCTTTTTAAAGATAGGGACAACTATCGACTAATTCCATGACGTTGGTACACTCTCTAGTTCCCAAACCTTTGTAAACAACGTCGTCAATTCTATAGTCAAAAAGTCACCACCATCTTTAAAAAAGAGCCGGTGGTAAGTCATCTGGGCCAGGTGATTTGTAACGCTTCAAGAGTTGGAGTTCCTTGCGGACTTCCTCCTCGTTTGGTGGATCAGTCGTCACTGGCCATGGAGGGCAGGACAGTCTGACCGATGTTGCCGGAGCAGCAGGCCAGTTGAACTGTCCTTCGAAAAATTCTGCCCATCGTCCAAGACGTCGATGGATGTTAGTGATTGGCATCCCATCATCCTCGCAGATCGTTTCGCTCACACCAGACTTCTTGCTGCCAGTGGTTCGAATGAGCTGGAAGAGTTTCCGGTAGTTACCAGATGCAGCTGCTGCTTCCAGCTCATTATCACGCTTCGACCACCAGGCTTCTCGGTTCTTACGCAAGCTTTGCCCAATTTCCTTACGTAACATCCTTCGTTTATGGTCAAACTCACGGTCACCCGGAGTAGACCGACGGGCTTCAATGAGTTGTAAGGAGCCTGAAGAAACCCAGTGCTTATAAGCGGGACGTTTCGCGAACCCACGACTGACTGTACCCTCCATTTTCATGGCGTCATGCAATTGCAACCAATGCTCATCTATACTTTTCGGTTGAGTGGTAGCTAGCCTAGAGGCTAGCTCGGTTCGATACTTACTAGCAACAGAAGTTGCAACCAGCTTGCTAATATCAATCCGTTGATGGCAGTCACTTCGTTGTCCACTGAAAAGTAAGGCAAGATTGGCGCAGACCAAGGCATGGTCAGAGTCCAGATAGGTACTCCAAAAGGAGCGGCAGTCTTGTACACAACCACGCCAGCGGTAGCTGATCGCGATGTGATCAGTCAGAGCCCAGGCTTGAGATGCAGAGGGAGGACGCCAGGTGGCACATCGGCGATGACTGTGCCGAAAGTTAGTGCTAGCCAGAAACAGGTTGTGGTCTGTGCACAGTTGCAGTAGACGGTCCCCGTTATCTGACCTGTGACCAACGAGTCCCCATCGGCCACCTAAACGACTCTCTTCTGTGCCTAGACGCATGACCTGAGCATTCAAGTCTCCGGCTAGTACTACAATATCTTTCGAACGTACTTTCTGGAGAAGAACAGTTAACTGGTGGTAGAATTCATCCTTGGTTGCATCCGGGCTGCAATCTGTCGGGGCATAGACGGGGATGGCGAAAACACATCGTTTCTCACGCCGATTTCTTCTCACTTTGATGGAACTTTCTAATCTAACAGCACATAACCGGCTGTTAATGGGGATCCAATCGACTAGTGCTGCCTCAGCTCTAGCGCTTAGTGCGATACCAACACCAGCAAGACCAGACGAAGATGCCACAGGGTACCCGGATAAGCGCACGTAAAACGAGCTTTTTGAAGTGACAGATGTAGAGCGAATTTGTAGTACTTCACCAGAGTCTTGAATACGGGTCTCGGATAGACAGCAGACATCGATATTAAGACTTTCCAAAGACATAGCCAGCCCTATCTGTTGTCCAACCTGCATAAGTGTGCGAACGTTGAAGGCAGCCAGTTTGAATGGCGCACGTGGTTTCAGAAAAACTGCTTCAGTACTCATATTCGGTGGTAACATACAATTTTCAACCGGACAGTGACACGAGAACGTTTAGATACAGTCGAATTTCCACCAAAGAAGAGCCGCTGTATAAGTATAAAAGAGGGTGAATAATGTGGAAAATAATAATAATAATAATAATGACAATAATAGTAATAATAATAATAGTATTAATATTGACAATAATTGTAATGATAATAATTTGAATCAATTGATTGTTTTTCGAAACGAGAAAAGTAATTCCCATAGACATAGAGAGTTCATCATTTGTGTGTGGGCTGTGACACTGCCCGGGTGCCCAAACCGAAACAGGTGGTTATCTTAGGGGGCCACTCCCCGAGCCTTTGACCTAAAGGTCTAACCCACAAGGCAGTGGAGCATCGTAAGGAAATGCGATCCCATGGTAGCCGGTGACCAACGAGTGGTTCATACGCCATTTGTTCTCGCAGGATACTGGTGCCCATGTGCACCATTGGTTTGGGATCCGGTTAAAGCGCCGGACATTGGCTTTTCGTCCCCTCATTTTTGTAAACAACACCCCCGCCACGAGAAGGCAGTGAGTAGGACTTCCCTGGCAGAGGCTGTATACACGCGGTCGTGTGAGAGTATTTCGAGAGGGAGAGCGGACTCTCCCCACTCTTGGCCGTACCAGGGCATTAGGAGGCGAGGGATTAGCTTAAATAGCTATGTAGTGGAGGATTTATAGGGAAAGGGTCAAGAAAAACAAGCAAGTAAGGGGTGTAAAAAATTGGTCGGGTCGTTTATCAAGTTTTATCCGGCCGAGAAATGAACAATGGGGGCCAAATCACTCAGCATTGTTTAGATAACAGTCTATTTTAGTCTAGATAAATCTAGCAGTACCAAAATCAATGCCACTTGTGGCTGATAAAATGGTAATAGCTGCCGAATTCGGAACCGTGGAAATTATATGAATTCCGGTCAACCGCTTTAAAGCAAACTATATATATATATATATATATATATATATATATATATATAATATTGAAATCATTTTAGAAGCCATTATGACTACAATCACTTACCTACATTGTAGTATGATCCATGGTCATATAGTCTTCGAAAATGGAGATCTAGTAAAATATTCAAGTAATAAGTGACATTGACTACACGTTCCCACTAATCTCTTACTGGCTATTTCCAAGGATATAGACGAATATGAAAGCACAAATCTAATTTGAACACTTTTTATATTAAATTCCGAAGCCTGCTGCTCTGACAGATCCAGATTATATGTATAGGTTTATCATTTAATTTGTTCGATCATTTCTTAACTTTTAGTGAAAGTTCTGGTGTTGTCGTGCACAAAGATTCAAAATGGTTCACTGCTTGGCAAGATTTCAAGGAAAATAATCAGTACGTTCAAAGTGAGTGCTATGTTACTTTGGAAGAGACAATGACCATAAGTTTTGAGGATGGCATCGAGAAATGACTATAGTCCAAGTGAAAACTAAACATACAACTGTTTGTCTAAGAATGGTTACCTTTTTTCTCATAGGTTTTTGTTTTATCAACCAGAGTTTTGCCCTCAAATGCCGTGGAACCGATGAGGGTGGGAAGAATCCTCTCTCTTAAAACTCACGTGACCACGTGCATACAACCACTATCAGGAAAGTCAGACTAACTGCGTTCTCACGGTGGGGGTGTTGTTTACGAAATTAAGAGAACGAAAAGCAAACGTTCGACGCTTTAACCGGGTTGGTGGATATGGAGAAACAGCTTAATTAAAAAGAATACACCGAGAAAGAGTTTTAACAGTTAAAGAATTTCCTCTCACCTATATAAAGAAGGTAAAATAAAATTGCAACAGAACCACCACTGGCTTTTATTCTAAGCTATCCTAAGGAAACAAATGGCATATGCACCTATCATGGTACTGGATCTCCTTACGTTGCCCCACTGCCTTGTGGACTAGACCTTTAGTTCAAAGGCTAAGGATGTGGACCTCTAAGAAAACCACCTGTTTCGATTTGGGCACCCGGACAGTATCCCAGCCCTCACATTAGTCGAATGATTTATGTGACGCATATCTGTTTGTTGCCTCCTTAAACCAATGTTTGTGTTTAAATAAACACCACGTCATACACTGACTACTTCGCTTTTTCCAACCGGTCCCAAAGTTGACAAATAATGCACCATGTCGAATTCTCTGGGACACCATTCGTAGTACATATCGAGGCCACTGAATCCAATGTTTCAAGATCACTCAGTTGAATTATTGTCACTACCCGAACATATGTTTCCAAACTTTGCATCACCAACATGTTGCCACTAAAAGTCAGCAGTCTTTCAAAGATGACGACCATCTAACACATAGTTGCTCAACTTCCACAACTCAAAAGGTCCAGGTTTCACAAGCACGAAGTAAAACTGCTCTCACCAGGTCTTGTAAATCTGACCTTTTACAGACAGACTAACATCATAAAGGCTCAGAAGATGATCCAGATCGGCTAAAAACTCTGCTTTTCACTATACATAAAGTGATCTCATCACTCCCTTCACCACCAGCGCTCACGCGGCTACCTAAATACACAAACTTCTCGACTGCTTCTATATGCTCATGTTAGCGGGACATCGATTCAATTAAAGCATGTTCCGTGCAGGATTGTGTTGGCGCATGCTGACTGACTATTACTTAACCAATCAGCACTAGTGAATACTTCGAGAAGACTCTGTAATCTTCTTATGTAAAAGCTATAAATATACTTACGTTTTTCTTATTGTGCTTCATACCTTTGTCATTTGGAATATAATCTCGTTCCTGTTAAACCGCGTTCTGATTTAGGGACCTGTCAAGTGAATTGGTGTCCAAGAATACTAAGCAATAAGAATAGCTGGGTCGTAATAAGAGAAATTATAACAGCTCACTACCCAGAGTGAGTGCATGTTCAGGGTCCTACCGGCCTTGTAAAAATACCTTGCACTCGGGATGTACATTGTACATCCTATACCTACGGACACTGATTCCCGACCCACCAAGTATGGGTTCCATGACTTAGGTATCACTGCACATTAAGGAAAAATCATCCACTTACTCAAGTTTGAGAAGTTTTTGTCCAGGCACAAGATCCGCACCACCTTTACCTACGTCCATCAGAGCTGTTTCTAGAACGTCATCGATGGCTAAGTTGCGGAGGAATAATGAGATTGGACAACCCTGTCTAACCTCACTGCTTCAGTGGAACAATGAAGATAAGTGATTGTATACCCTTACTCTGTCTGGGGTGTTCGTATATAAGACCTTCAAGATGTTAATAAACATCCCGGGCACATCGTTTTCCAACAGATAATTTCAGGGAACAATCCTGTCCAACAAATTGAAGGTGGCCCTGATATCAAGAAATATAACTACTGTTGGTCTACAATAAGTATGGCGATGTCCTAACATTTAGTAGAGGGTGCAGATAAAGTCGATATAGCTTTAACCAGAATAAAAACCAGCCTGCTCCTCGCGAGTCAATCTTTCATGGGTTATGACCAATCTGTAGAGTATGATGGTGGACAATAACTTGGAGGTAATCGGAAGTGGATTTATCCCGAATTGTTGCTACATAGGCGACATAAATCCCTTTAAAAAACGAGGACGACTATCATTTCAATCCAGGATGTTGGAACACTAATTGCAAATCGTTTGCAAACTATCTAATCAGTCCCATAGCTAGAGGTTCGTCATCATCCTCCAAAAGAGACGGGAGTGAGTCATATAGGCCAGGCTATTAATAACGTTTCAAGAATTGGAGTTCCTTCTGAACGAGTTGTAGTCAACGCAAAGCTACATTGGATGGTCTCCGTTATCTGATCTGCCACCAACGAGTTCTCACTGTCCATCTAGACGGCTCTCCTCTATACCTAGACTCCCGATATTCACATGCAAGTCTCTGGTTAGCACTACAAAATCAGTCACACACTTTTTAAAATCACTCAACTGGTGGTAGAACTCAGCACTAATCGATCCGTCAGTATCCTCGGGCCCATGTGCAACATTGGTTTGGAATCTGAGCAACCCAACTCCCTAAGTGGATTCTCTGTACCCACCGACCTGGATCAAGGTTCAGACATTTTCTTTCTATCCTATCACTTTCGTAAACAACACTGCCGCCGCGAAGTCTAAGTAGAACTTCCTTGGGAGTGGCTATATTCGCGCGACTATATGGGAGCATTTCAATAGAGATGACGGACTCCTTCCACCATTGGAAGTATCAGGGCACTTAAAGACGATATCACAATAGTTGATCACCTTTATTGACAGGTTATTATTTAAATGTATGTATGTGACCTCGCTCTATTGTTTTAGGTATATCAATTACTAATTTTGATATTATGATTATCTATAAATTGGCAGAAAATCACAACTAAACAGTGTTTAGTGCATTGTTAACCAAATTTCTATTTTGCATAATAATACCACTCATTTTATGTAATTTGTTCGCTCGTATATCTAGTGTTTGATATTATGTGAACCAGATGTCTCTATGTAATTTTTTCGTGGTGACTTATAAAGACTAGTTAATATTATCCGTATTTTGCTGCGTAGACCTGATATAACATGGCAAATATTAAGCGAAGTTGAACCTTCGGAATTGTACAAATAGAAGCTATCTATCTATTGTATTGTATGCTATCCCGGTTATCGGGCAAGCAAATGTAGGAGATTTGTGTTCTGCACCAATAGTTGTTAAGTATTGGTTGTGGCTGTCATCTCGTTATCCTTGTGTCAATTGTTAGCAGAATGCTACGACTTCTATCTAGCCAACGAAATAATCAGTACTCAAACTAGACCATACAACTGCTCCTATAATAATGGTCTGATCACACGAACCCCAATACAGTATATGAAATCTGTTTTTTTGTTGCTGTCACATCGAGAACATCTGAGACAAGTAGCATAGTTGATTAAAAACATAATCTTATATTTTAGATAAAATATCTGAGTGTCTTAAATTAATTTTAGGATTTTTTGATTTGAAAGCCCACTATGAAGAGAGTGATCATTTAGTTATTCGGTCATTACGATTTGTAACTGATAAACTATCAAATATATTCGGTAAGTTATAAACCATATTTATCTTACAATCATGTATTATAGACATTTAGTACGTAATGAATATGTTGCTTAGTGAACTATTCTTTCGACTTGTCGATCACTGTACAACATTTCCACCTTACGATGTACTATTAGGTGATACATTTTTTTCCAATTGTCTATCCAACGACTTTTTGTGATGTTATAAACAATAATATCGAAATTCGGTAGTCATGATTTACTATCTTTTTCTTTAACAAAAGATACATCGTTTCAACCAACAAAAAACGTTTTTGTTAACTTAGTTTCAATATACATGCATGGGCTTACATCTTTTCCTTAACTCTGATGAATCTTGTTTAACCAGTGTTCAATCTGAGTTTAAATTTCAGTATAATCCACTCAAAATTATTGATCATGAATAGTTACAGTCGTCATACTAACTTCTGTTGCTTGTTTAACGCAAATCAATCAGTCAGTCATCCAAAGTAGAACCCAACATATGCGCATCAACTCAAGTTCCCACATCACATTGGCACAACACAGTAAATCCCTATATCGTAGAAATAGTAACAGTATCAGCAGAAGTAGAAATAATTAGGCATAGAAAAAGAAAGGAAGGGTATGAGGATATTTTGGCTTTCAGATTCTAAAGGCAGACAAAGTGAACGCACCTGAGCCATTGCGAACGATTCTGAGTTATATCATCTAAGGTCTTTTGATGGTTAAGCGCACCCTAACCATGTTGTCTACTCTTATTAACAAGACTCAGTTCAACAGTCAATGACTTCAAACACTGATGCCACGCTTTAGATTAGCCGTCTCTACTTTTCAATCTACAACTGACAACCTCACCCGTCGAAGAAGTCAGTGGTTAAGGGTACGTAACTCGTGTCTCATAACCTCATTTGTAGAAGATTTATTATTCCATCAACCGATTCTTTATCTTTACGTGGTACTTCAGTATTGTTCACTCTGTAGTCACAAAATACACGAGCCATGAAACCAGTTCATTTTTATGCAGTTATATACATCACAATCAAAAACTAGTTGCATGTCCTTAAGCTATAACAGACACGACTTTAGTGAGACAAAAAGTCAGTATAATGAGTTCCACTTAATAAGAGATCATTCATAACTCAAAGTCCTCTCAACCATACACTCAGCATATGTATCTGGTGCCCTTTGTACCAATATTTATGTGTTCAAATAAATAAATAAATACACTTATATCTATGCGCATGCACCAGTTTAGAATCAATATTAATTGTTTATAACTAATTTTCACAACGGTGTTGTCAATCAGGATGATTCTAAACTGTTTTTCTATAGGTGGCTTGAAATCAACAAATGATTTACAACAGGTGCTAGATGAAATCACAAAAATGGACCCTTCTTTTGATTTGGAGTCGTTTATACGTTATTGCCGATTTATCGTTATTCCGAATGTACTTGAGGTATGTACAGTACATCTGAAATGGATTGTGTTAAAATATGACATACTGGTTATTATAATTTCAAGTGATCATTATTAAGTTAATGTTAATATTTCAAAATACTTGTTATAGTGTTGAAGAGTAAAAATTGCTCTGCATGAAAAAGTTAATATTCATTTAAAGAAATCAGAAAAGAAATTATTTACTATTAACAAGATTTAGGGATTTATATTAATGAGGATAAATTAGTACCCAAACTACACATTACTGTTTATTTTCAGCGTAAAACATGCAAATCTATTCTTTTCAAGTCGAGTCTTTATGGCATTTGATTTACAAAAATAGAAATATATCATCTCTATGAGATCCTAGTTCAGTTAATCTTGTAGGATGTCTTAAATATTTTGGCTGGTGCATTCGGGTCTACTCGACATGTATATAGTTTCACTGAAAATCGTAGTAATTTAGATGTTTCATTATTGATACTGTTACATTTACTACTCATACGTAAACTGAATCTTTCGATGTACCTTAGCGTAACAGTTAAGACACCTAAAAGGTGGGTTATTATTCTTGTCCATATGAGGAGGAACTTTTATGTTTTCGGAAATCGCATGTTACAATTTATGGCATATTCTCACCCATTCCCTATATTACCTTAAAAATAAACGGAAAACTATCCTTTCTCTGATCGTTTCATTTTCGTGTTTTTTTCACAATATGTAGATGTATATTTATTTGTAATTATGCAGAACGTTACTAAGTTACAGAAGCTCGTTCCCATCTTTTAAAACCAGTCTGTATTCTTGATAAAAAGTGAATACTAATAGGCTATGTTTACTTTTTTCAACCTAGAGTTAAGGTAATAACTGTTCTACCATTATTATTGCCTAATGCAGTTTAACTTCATTGGAAATTCTTTTCAATATTAGTTATTCAGCTGTTATCTCCTTCACATATGCATAGATATACGTCTTACCTTACACTGTTACGTTTCTTCGCTCATATTTATTTTCTGATTGGTCAGATTCTATTCGTTAAAGAAATCTGTGTACGCTTCAGAAGAATGTAGCTTCTAAACAACCTGTTCAAATTATTTACCAGTTTCGCTTTACCGTATTCCACATTTTGCAGCAAGATATGTTTATATGATTTCTGTAACTATATTGTCACATAAAGACAGTCAACTAATAAGGAAATAGACAATTCTAGGCATAATTACATGCACGTCAAGTATCAAAGTATTTGATTTATAAACCATTCCGGACTTCCGAATGGCTCATTTTATGTGGTTGTATACTGCATACACTTATAATACTGGTTTCTCTGTTATGATTGCACACGTCATAGTTAGCACTACCAAAATGATTACGTGATGATTTATAATCCACTAGGTATTTTTCATATCATCATATTTTGTCTTATTAGTTCAACAGAATAAACATTGCACTTATAAATGTGTTTATAGGTATCAATACCAAGGCTGAATTTGATAGTTCCAAATAAATCGAGCATTGGTAGAAAGTTAATAATCAATATATTGTTTGTTACATTAAGTCACAAGGCGTAAGAAATACAATTTTTCTACTCATTGGGTTATAACAAACAATATATTTATTATTGCAGTTATAGTCTATCCCTCTTCTCATGTTATATAATGCAATCATCATAAGTATCATCGCTCTCACATATTCTTTTAATTTTAAAAATATATTATTTCACAAACATTTCTAGTATAGCAGTCATGTTCGTCGTTGCGAGTAAAGTACCTTGCCGATGTGATATTCAAAACACTCAAAATTTCAAACCTTCGTGTAGGCTTATTGTTCTGTTAGTTTTTGGTTATCTAAAATAATTTTCGAGCTCTCATGGTGAATTTATTTTTTGCGCGAAACCTTTTTTCATTAGTTTTTTCTCTATGTTTAGGCCATAGTAAGGGGCGACTTACGTATTCTCCAGGATTGGTGTCACGAAGCCGTATGTTTTCTGGTTCTTCTAATATAATTATTGTTTTAATAGCCATATAATGTGTTGGCAACACCTTTGAATCAGATTAAAGAACTTGGGTATATTTCTGAATCTCGCATACTGGATGTACATAATGTTGATGTGAGTTCATTTATCTGTGTGATAAAGGTGGTATGTGAACTGTCCGATCATGTTTAAATTAAATTATAAATAGGATTTGCATAATTTCCAAGTTTTAAACGTACACCTGCACGAAATGGGGTTTTTCTTCATTTCTATTCCTGGTTATATGGGGAAATGAAGTTAAGTGACTGTTTTTTTACTGGCGATAATTATTAAAAATTTACTTATGACTAGTGTTATTTATGTGACTGTGGAGTGTAAAACTGACTTGAGCCTGGTACTGAGACCCCGAATCCAACGATGCGTACTGAAAACGAAAGATTGGTATTAATTTTTATTTGACTCCCAAAATGAAGTATACATACACTACTTTCTATATGATCTTTGTACAGTCAACCAAGACTGATCAAATCTCAGTCGAAATGATCAATAATGGGATAATCTAAACCATTTCAAATTGAATTAAGTCTCATATCCGTTGTATGATTGACTGTCCAGTCTCGTTAGATAATTAGATAAGGTGATGGCATTCGAAGCGAATCGTAATGTATCCGAGTCCCAGTTTGAACATCCGCTCAGGTTCAGATACATCCAGATGACGAGTCCCAAGTAATACGAGGTGCATTGCAAGCCACATCCCATTTATTCTGTATCAATTTGTATAGTCAGATTAACAATTAGATATTTTTAATTTGACTGAGTATCATTTAACATTAATTAATCAGTAGTTCTTTATGTCAACACATTTGCGACATAATACTGACCTAATTTTAATTTTTTGGTTGTCGAAACAATTAGATCATTTTTCGTCTTATAAAAGCTGAAAAACAATCACTTAGGTAATTAAAATCCTCAATGTTTTATTTGTGCTGCTTATGGTACTGAGGCGTTACAATTTTGGAAATTCATAATTTTGTGGTTCGAAAATTTGCATAGTTTTCATCGTGCTGATTCTAGGTTCAAATGGGCAAAATGATGGAGCAAGGACCAGTGCTGATAATTACATTCCAAGCACAACAGATAAATTGTATTCGTGACAAAAACAGAAATCTACATGAAGGTGATCCAAATAAAGTATTACGTGTGACAAATGTTTGGGCTTTGTGTCGTGATCAAAGTGAAATGAATCCACTAGCAGCGTGGCGTGTGTTAGATATTGCCATGATGCCATCTGAACAATGGATGTGATAACTGTTCTTATCCTAGCACCACAAATTGTGTATTTTAAATCAAAATTGGTAAATATCTTGTTATTAATTTTCCTACATTGAAAATGTATGTACAGCTTGATTACCTAATCTTTTGAACAGCAATGCTTTTTTAATCTCCAGACTTCGTAGAACACGCACAATTATCGTCTAAACTTTAGTCGATCAAGACTTTGTGAATACTTTCTTGATTCGGGTAACTTTTCTTCTACACAAAGCATTTATATGTAAGTATTAAACTAGATTTTAGTCAAAGCAATGAACTTATGTTTCGTTTTTTTCGGGCAGTTTGAAATCATTTTTTTGTCCTTTTTTTGCTTCAAAGTATTTGTATTCATTATTAATCTAATTGCGAAATATTTTATACATAATTCAATATCTCGCCACAACTGATAAGAGTAGACAACCAAATGTCAATGGGATGATTACGTACTAGATAGAAATAACCTTTGAGCATATACACCAAAAGTGAATGTATCGACATTTTTTGCGTAAGTTATATGGGACTAATATATATATATATATATATATATGTAATAAGGGCAATCTAAGACCAAGTTATATATATATACTACTTTACGTCCAAAAGAAAACATTATTTTATTGAGTCAAACTCCACTACGGAGAGTTTGAACCTTTTTTAATAGATCTTTTTCTGTAGATACATTCGACTATCTATTTAACATAATGTTAGTTAGAATACTAAGACAGGCTTAAAATCAAACCATGGTCCATCTTGTTACTGGAAACCATATTACGCTGTTCGCGTTAAGTCTACTTAATATCATAGCCCAATTAAGATGTTCTGTACGGTATTATGAAAATAATAAGTAAGAAATATGACTCAGTACAATTACAGTTGCTAAATGATTAAATCATAAAGCGCACAACATATCGCAGATTTTGGAAAGTTCTCTATTGTATATTTTCGCTTTATACTTGTTATTGATTTGACCTCGTGTAACGGAAACCCTTCAACCGTAGACATTGATTATCAAGCAGACAGCACCTGGCACACCTTAGACTAACATGTGGTGACTTCCCAAGCCGGTAGGATGTCTGACCTAGCTGATTTTGCTTTTTCTTAATTTATTATCATGCAGGTCTTTTAATCACAGTTGTGGGTGGTCAGATTACTGTTTACTAGTGCTTTATGCCTAATATTAACACTTCTCAATCTCTAGTTTAAATGTACATTAGAAGTGACGAGTATGTATGTGACCAAAACAAGGACATCACACTTCAGATAAAGGACGTTGGATCTCTGTACTAAGCTCTTTTCTGACTTATATGCCAGACCTCCAATTACCTTGACATAATCGAAAGTGACTAGAGTGCTTTGCCTCCCGAATTACTGTCATACGGCCGTACGTTTACAGCCTATCCCAACTAAGTCTTACTGGTTTCATGTTGGCAAAGATCCTTTCACACAAGTCAGGATGCGAAACCAGATGACACGTGTGCTCAAACTTAAAATGATGAGACCCAGAACAGCTTTTAGCACTTTCGCTCGTAGAATGTCGACTATATAGTGTCTGTGAAATCAGCTCTGATGGAAAATGACCCTAGTCTGAAAGATTGTTCACATTCGGTAAGAACACTACATGAGTAATCCCGAAGTCGTACAATGTGTTCAATTGAGTGATTATAACTGTTGTGTTTATACGATCTTGAAGCATCGGCTTAGGTATCGTGGGTATACTATATGAATATCATCTTAATGGATTCAGCGTCACACAACTTCTGAAGATTCCTCAATTGAGCTCAGAAAGTGGAAGAAACTAGCTAACGACACCTCTATAAAAGTCCCATCTTTCAATCCACCGAAACTTCGATGGGCCCCAAAAATCACTAACTCGCTGTGTTGTGGTTTTATTCGGGATGGTCCGAAAAAGATAATGGTGATCCGGCTGTAACTATATATATAACCTTCGTGATTAAATGAAACATGTCCTGTGTTTTTTTCTTAAAAGAGGTATACATCTAAGTAATTACTGTTCTTTTTCATTTATTTCTTAATTATGTGATCATTCCCTCTTTTGCTTTATCCGAGGTATCATTTTACATAGTGATTCTGTATTGTACCAAAAGTCATGTTTTATAAGTTTATATTAAAACACGACTAATTTATTCAAAGATAAATAAGTAGCATATTATTCAAAGAAAACATCTAGTTGTCGAATCTTTACGTGTTTTTTTTAAGCGCTTCCAGCAGTTTCTCCTGTTTTACTGCTATTTCTGTTAGTAAAAATACCCTCACATTTGGATCTTCAATCTGATTAATCTCTTTCTGGAGCTTGTTTACAATTTCACCAAAAACCTCATCTTTATCCTTAATACCGGTGTTATCATTTGACTCCTCGATTCTCTTTATGTGGTACTTAAATAGATTTTCTGCATATTCAATCCACACACAGTTTGCGCATCCAGATTCACAACAATAGGAACGGTGTGGAGGTTCTGGTTCAGAATCACTATTTGGAAAATAGTTTCGTCTCCATAGACGTATTAACCAATTGGATACAGTGCATATAGTAGAATGATTGAAATTCAGTTTTCGTAATAAACCCATGTACACTCACTCCATGACATGTGTATAAAACAAAACAAAATAAATAGATATTTTGTAGTGATTAAAGCTTGTAAGTGAACGGATGGTTGTTAATACAAATAATTTATATTCATTTACTGAATGATGTACTCATATATTTTATGGATATTGAATTATCAAAGGCGATCAAAATAATCTGGATATCTACGCTACAAAATTCATCGTATGACTATGCTGTTGGTTTTGGGAATATAATGTCTACGATTCTTGGTTTGTGTTTCATAGTTGTACAAAATGTAAGACATCTGGGAAATAAACCAGTGAAACGACTGAATCAGTAAACCCGCGATTTACACACGCGTAAGTTATAATGGAATAGGAAAGAACTTCAGTCCATTTTAAACGATAAAAATGCAAAAATAATAATCTGACGACCGTCTTAAGTATATGTATTTTTCTAAAACTATTAGACGATTTTTGTAAGCAGTATGGAAATAACCGGTGGTGGGTAAAACTTGTGTTTAAATTTGTTCATAAGCTAATTATCTCCTGCATTAGTCATATGGCGCAATTAGTAAGAGTTCACCTGACGTAAAACTATACTGACTGATGTTTGGACTTTAACATTAGTATCCCGTGCCGACGTTTTGTCAAAATTTAAGACTGACTATTTTATCTTAGTGAACGCTTTGCAGACAAACAATTTACCTGGTTTGGTGAGGAAACAGTCAAATATGAACTTAACAAACAGAAGTTACATTGATCGCAGATACTCTTAGCTAACATTTTGTGGCAGTTACTTCAGATCAGCAGGGAAAAGGAGTTGAGAAATATAAGCATGGGGATTACATAATCAGTATATTACGTAAGGGTACTACGGCTTAATGTTACAGTAATCTCAGTGTACGAACTATTGCTAACGGGTGTTAGATTAGTAAAAAAAATCCCAAACTGTACACATAACATGCATGCAAAATCAATATTTCGCGTACAGACAATACTTCAGTACACAAAGTGACTTCAAATAACATTTATTAACAAAGAAATATACAATAAAAATATTTCGACTTTATGGAGATTTAGTACTAGCTGAAACTTGGTTTCACAAAAATCACTGTAGGAACGATATGCTTATTTTTTACTCCACTGCAGATGAATCTGTTTCAAACGTTGATGATATCTTTCAGGAATATTTAACTCTGGATAAACAGTAAGAAGTCTGTCTGAATTTAGTAATTCTTGTAAGTTACGATACACGTATGATTCTGAATCCATTGATTTTACATCGTTCTCAGTTTTTAAATTGTCACTTGCACATAAACATGATAAGCCAGAAAGAGAAAGGTAAGTATGAAGTGGATCTAAAATAAACAAGGGAATTACAAATAAACCATATTTCATAAGTCACCAAAAATAAATATACTAAGTATACTTCTTATGAAATTATATCCTGTAGAAACATTGAATTTTGTCAGACAAATATCACCAACATAAAACTTGAGGCAGATGTACTTTGTTCTAAGTTGTCATGGCACATTAGCACTAAGAGATAAAAATAAGATGAATTGCGAAATAAGCAGTGATAAGGAAGAGTAAACATGGAGAATATGTTTTGGACAAACCGACTGGAAAATTCTGTGTGAAGTGGTACTGAAATTCGAGATCAAGAATAAGTACATATCCGCTATTGTGGACGACTTCGATCTTTTAAATCATACAGCACTCCACACTGCTGTTTATTAGAAGAAAGCACAGGCTTAACTACCAGACACTCAAAATTAAGTTCTCTAACTTAAGTTTCATAATGATTTATTTTGTGATGTACGTTATTTAGTATTGTCACGGAAGAATTTACAATTACTAACAAACAAACAATACATCACAAAACTGTGTGGTCCAGATTTTTATCAATTTCAAGACTAATGAGGCCTATTTCATTAAGGGAGTACAAAAATAAACTATGTACAGGTCAAGTGCATTTTAAATATCGAGTGATAGATTAATTTGTTTTGTGGTACCCACTATCTTTGATTAGATAAAGTCAACATGGACGGTTCGTGACAACGCAAAATAAAACGAGTAATAAGTGTAGAGATATTGTTTCTCGTGTAGCCCCCTTCGTACAGTTTAAATTTGGAAATTATGTTTCAAACATGCAGAGAACACTTTGAGAAAGCAAAAAACACTTGGTAAGGAAGTTAATAAGTTGCACTGAGTAGGGTATGAGAACAGCTAGGCTTTTACCTGGGGTAGAAAACTGGTCAGGAGTCTTTGTGAATGCCCCAATAACATCATTCCAACATCTTGTTACAAAACGAACAGCTGAGTTCTTATCGACCAGATGGTGACAGTTTAGTATCTATTAAAGAAATGATTTAAAACATTGAGGTTGATAAATTCACCCAATTCAAATTATGTTAACCTATAACAATAGGATTGACTAGAGAGTTTTTATTACTGAATGCATTTACAAGTGATATCAATGTGTGACGTAACCTTAAACTCACTGGCCACTCGTACAATCAATATACTACACGAAACTTCGAAGCAAAATATTTATCAATGTTAAAAATTTCAGCTACGCGTAAATAGTGATGCTTTACGTATGCAACACTAACTGCAGATCAGCAGGATTTCAGGTCAGTTGTTAATTGAATGACTCAACAACTAGTGAGTTTTCGTTCTGTAACCAAACAGTCGCCGATAAACTGTTAAGCACGTCTTTTCTATAAGACGAATGTTTCATATTACGCTTGAAAATGAGCAATCTACAGTATCGCAACTAGATTCTTGTTAGGAATTTATTTATAAAATATTTACAACACATTTTCTCACAAATAGCTTTTAGCTTTATATGATTTAGACATTGAGTAGCTATTTGGCATCGAATTAATATATAATTGAACAGCTAAGTAGTAACATAATAGCACTTATGCACCACACAAACTCAACAGAAGAGAATAAACATCTAAAAAAATTCGAGAAGACGGGCGGTTGTATACTTTTTGTACATGCATCAAAATGTAAATCAACAGAATTCCATAGGATTATGGCGAAAAGTGAGTGTTACAAGACTTACCTTAAGACTAGCACAGACCCAAAATGTGTAACATGTATCATCTGGTTTACCAACACGCCCATGAAATCCTTCTTCTTGTAAGTTCAATAGCCATTTAATCAACAGTTCTCGCGACTTGGATCCAGATGGGATAACGGATTCTAATTTACCTATAAGAGACAAACTAGCTACTGCACAGTAAGTAGCTCCAGCATGTGCTTCCAAATACGGTAAATTAGCGAATCCACCTTGGTAAGTCTATTGTGTGGATAGATAAAAATACGGAAAGTATATATATATATATATATATATATATATATATATATATAGTCATGTGGTCAAAAATACATAGATCATGTGATTGCTTAAAAAATTGAATAAAAGTTAAAGGTACATCTAACGACAGGAAGAACTCTAACGTTTGTAGTGGGATCGAACATTCTTTCCAACAATAAAATTGTTAGCTAGTAAAATGAGGTCTTTTGGTTTTGACTATCAAGGATTGTCAGGTCTACCGTGAATATGCGCTTTATTTATCGCCTATTTCCACAGTAAACACGAAGCACCTTTCAACTAGTATTAGAGAACCAATGGAAAATTACACACCTGGCATTTTGCGACGAAATCAGCAACGTTTTCACAATTGATAGAATCTAGTCCATTCAAAATATAACAGCTGGCAACTGCAGAAAATACGAAACGCATGTCGCGTTCCCCACATATATCTCCTGCTTTGAACAAGCCAGGCTCATCTGAGCACTGCATAGCCGATAATCCAGCTAGAGTTCCGCGTCTGTCTACACGAGATAAGTTATCACCAAGTAACAACAACGTGGAAAGAGCTGAATAAACCATTGTTACGTGGCTTCCATCATACTTCGAACGGACCAACTTAGCCTGAAATAAGAAAAACTTTAGAGTTAGAATGAGTGGGCCGAACAAGAAATTGTAACTTGAGAAATGTAGTTTACCTTTCGGAAAGGACAGCAGACAAGACTTTACATATAGTCTGCTAAGCATTATTATTAACTTTAGTTAAGGATATGTTACTGTTGACCTAGTACTTAAAGGTTTATTAAATTATTCCTATTAAAAATACTACAAAATAAATATATTTAGTTATCATACCTAGACACAAACCACGGATGTCACTGTCAACCAAATTCGATTAGTTAAGACAGTATTTACGGCTGAATCCCTACTGTTTTTATATCGCTGACTTGATTTCATGAGAAAATATCCATACAAATGATGCAATCTGACAGCTATGTACATTCACAAACTAGGACTCCTGCCTATAGCTTAGAATTATTAACAAAGGTAGTACTCTAAGGGAATAAGATAAATCACTTAAATCTGTGAATTAATCAGGTATGTCAGGCGAAACTGCGGCTTAACTAATCGCCAGTTATTAACCAAAGGGAAAATCTACCGCACTATAGAAACTTATAGAAGTTCACTGTGTTGCTAAGAACGGCCGGATGAATCAACAAACTTTCGAAGACAACTGGTAACATAATGTACCAGTCATTTAATACAACAAAACATTCAACAATAGAGAAGAGTAAATTAATTTTCCTACGACTGCAAAGGTGTAAAACTCCTTAATTTTTGAACCAATTTTCTGTTGCTAAGATAATTCGGAAAATATTCCATTTTTACTAAGCAAATTATTTATTTTACTTATTTGAACACATAAATATTGGTACAAGACGGCACCAAATACATGTGCGCCACACAAAACAATGAGAATTCGAAGAGAGGAAAAAGAAGGTAAGGAGTGTAAAAAGGAACAATAACGAACAGATTAGTGTAAGTAAGTGTAATAATAGTAATGGGGGAAACGGAAAAGTACAACCAGAAGAATTCTTTCACTTGAGGAAGTTACAACCACTTTTTATGAAGAAAGTAAACGAAGGTTACAGTAGGATCGCCACTGGCTTCTATTCTGAGCCATATCTGA